TTGTACTAAAAGCTCACGAGCGCTGATTCTCCTGGTGATGAAGCCTTCAGCACAGTACAACATTCACTCCTGCACTTTACAGAGCCACCACGTAGTGCTCTTCACTTAGAAGAGTCACTGCCCCTCCCTGAGACCGAGGGAGTACAGAGCCTACTCGTGCTAACAAATAACCAAGCTTTATCGTTCATAACGAGTATAATTGACCTGCATTCCTCTCTTTTCTTGGACAATTTCATCAATGTTTTTGAATTATAAGTTCCAACCAATAAAACGACAGTTATCCAATGAGATTCCTGAATATGAACCCTGAACCATTAATCATACTGATATGTATCCCTGACAAAGGAAATCTGTGAGACAGGCATGCCTGATGGATATGGACCATAATGACCTTGAGCAACTTCACCAAAAGGATGGAAATCAAGACACTACAGAGCGAATTCTGGCCTTTTCTAAAAAGCACACATGAAAAACAAAAGAACTAACATACTGTTTAAAGACAGAAAAGAACAGCAGTCTATAGATGAATATTTATAAATATGGTCTTTTTCTCATATACCCCTTACTATAAAATACAAGGATAAATCAATTCTCACCAGCTTCAATTTAATGCAATGAAAAGACTCAAGCCTTTTTTAAGGAAAATCCTCATAAGTTACCCACCAGTAAGTGACGGAAAGATACAAGGGTATAGCAGGTGCAAGGGATGGATTATTGGCTTCTGCCCAGGCTGCATGATACCACCAAGGACTTGGGGCAGCCACATGCTGACATTTCAAGTTTGTTCACGTGGTTCAGAAAAGAGCCCACAACACAAATTTGGAATGTTGTTTTACACATCATTGTGCATCTCTCAGTGTTTAACGAGGGGCCATGAATATGGGAGATGCTAAGTAATCAGTGTTCAGTGAATTCTTTCTTTCTCAAGTATCTATCTTACACCTATGTGTTTATATTCTCATTGTAACTACAGCTTGAGAAACCCAACAAAACTGCTTGTTTCCTTCAGCATTAGTATAAACCTTAATTTATTTAAAGTGTTTCTGACACTTTTTTTGCATTTATTAGGGGGTATTGCAAAAAAAAAAGTATTAAGTGGAGAACCGTATTTTAGGGCCCTGATATTTACTTATCATAAAAATTGGCAACTTTCTTAACTAAAAAGCCTGCCAATCTGGGCAAAAGAAAAAATTTAACTTTCTGGTGTTCAGATGCAAAGGTCATAGAGAATACTAGATATTAAATCTGTGAAACTGCACAGACCCAAATGTATATTTAATGTATTTATAATGTTTGTTTAATAAAAATAGCTCACAGTGAATATTTTGTCATTTTAAAAGCATATTTGCATTTGCTTACCCTATCAGAATATCATTTCTAAGAAAATAAGGACTTCTTCTGAAGCCCCACAGGGGAGTGAATATATAAAACTCTTGTTAGACAGAGAGGTAGAATCAGATTTCTTGGGTTCAAATGCTGGTTACCAGGGTGAGGGGAAGGGGAACGGAAGGATAAATTGGGAATTCAGGATTTGCAGATACAAAAGACTATATATAAAATAGAAAAACAGCAAGGTCCCATTGAGGAGCACAGGGAACTCTATTCAATACCTTGTAATAGCCCATAATGAAAAAGACTATGAAAAGGAATATATATATATATAATCCGTGAAACTGCACAGACCCAGTTATATACACATACATATAACTGAATCACTAGACTGTACACCAGAAGTTAACACAACACTGTAAACAGACTATATGTCAATAAAAATTTTAATTAAACGATTTTTAAGAAGAGAAAAAAATGCTGGTTCTGTTCATTACTCACTGAAAGATCTCAGGCAACTCATTTTCTCCCTATTCTCACATTTCTTCATCTTCAAAATGAAGATAATAATCATAGTTCGCACCTCAGAGGATAGTAATGAGCAGTCCAGGAGTTAAGCTACATAAATATTCTCATAAAGTGGCAGGCTCATAGGGAATTCCAAAAATGTTAACTATGGTTATTATGAACTGCACATTAAAATTCAATATAAAATGCAGAGCAGATTTTAAGAAATTAAAGCTAAGGAAAATTATGACTGAGTCCAGAGAGCTAGTACCCAGGGAAGTCAACCTAGTTCCTGACCTTGACATTTCCAGCCAAGGGTAGAGGGCCTCTCTGCTTCTAACAGAACTGAGCTGGTGTTTCACAAAGCCCACGTTGTTGCCATGAGGGCGGGGGCCGCTCGAACCCCACTTCACAGCATCTGCCTGCCTGTGGCTGTAAATACCTGCACTCTGTACTATGAAGAATGGCCCCATCTCAGTCCTGTCTGAGTAGACCAAACGTGGGCAGCTGACCTAAGGACAGCATCTTGCAGACTGGCCAGAAATTGACTGGAGTGGTTTCTCTGGACAAATATAAAATGGATCCTTTTAATTCTCTTAGAAACTTGGAATTACAGATCCGGGGGAATTGGGCATTCATTCCTTCCCTCATTCATGAAACAGACATTCCACCAATACCGACTGTGTGAAGCACTGTTCTGAGCAAAGGTGAGACTGCAGTAAAGAAAACAGTTCCCAACGTCAGTGACTTGATTTCTAGCAGGAGGGCGAACCAAAAAGTAAATATTTGTCAGATGATGATAGGCACTATTAAGAAAACAAAAGTGGATAAGGAGAAAAGAGTACTGCAGGGAGCAATATTAGTTGTAGAGGTCAAGGAAGGCTTTTTTAAATGGGTGAGATTTGAACAGAGACTTAAATGAAGTGAAGAGCAGCCCAGCAAAGAGGCAGGAGAAGAGCATTTCAGGAAGAAGGAAGTGCAAGCACAAAGCCCCTGATGTCGGGACGAGCTTCGCACGTCTGAAGAAGAGTCAGGAGGTTAGTTGGCTTCCTCATGGGATGTATTCAAGTCCAGAGAAGCCACTGCGGGCCATGTATGGGAGGACCTCAAAAGGGTGCCCACGGTTAGAGAGGGAGGAGAACTGCAGAGAGAATAAGACCACATGGCCTTTGAACAGAAGAGATCTGGCTGTCTGGAGGAATGCTCCTTGCCATTTCCAATTCCTGCCTGTGCCTAGCCTGAAAACAAATACCCTTTTCCCTGAAGTGTCCATGTGGGTGTCTGCCTTTTGCCTCCCAAATGTCCTAGTTAGAATACTGTGTAAGATCTTGCTTGATTCTTACTTTAATGAGTTTGAAAGACTAATTATTAATATCCTTTATTGGAGGTGAGAAAGCTGATGTATTAAGTTAAATGACTTTCCCACCTCTCAAAATGAGTTTGTAACAGGAGGTAAGCAAGCTCCTCTACATTCTGACTTCACACTGTGCACCTATATATTGGGAAAACTAAGTTTATGATCCGCTTGCATCATAGATGCAGATTATCTTAAAGAGTGTAAGACTTCATCAAACTAAGTTGCCTTTGCCCCTAAATGTCCATCTGCAAACTGAAGAGGCTCTGATTATAGAAGAGAAGAAAAAGAAAAGAAGAGAAGAAAAAAGAAAAGAGAAGAGATGGTCAAAGGTTAGTAAAAACAAAAATCACCTCTATGAAAGGAGGAGTAGCACCCTTTCTAAACACTATGATTCACTAATAACTTACTTTTAACCTTTTCCTAAATATTTGGGTTCTCCCATCCATTTTCCTTGACTTTCACCTTTATTTGTGTACCTCTATTCCTACTGGGTCCCAGGTATCACTAGTTTCATGTTTAAATTATCTGTCACCCGTATCCTAGCTCCCCCATGATTCATACACTGTGGAATATGCATTCATTGTATATGATCAACTAATGCAGGGTAGTTAAAGCTATGGATCGTGTAATCCATTTCTCAATGTGATATACACCGTGAAAAGGCAACCACAGTAAAAGAGGGGTTGATTTAAGAGGCTCCCTGGGCAATGACAGTCACAATTTCCAAACGTGCCAAAAATTCATTAGGGCTCCATGTCAGATGGCCGTAATCTCTGTAGCAATGGTTTAATAAATACAGTGATGCACTGTTCTGGAGTCTGCAATGACACATTGTGGATATCCTATATAAGCAGCGTCTTCCCATGATCATATTCTTCTCCTGAAGAACTATCTGTGTTTCCTGATTTGTCTTAATGATACTTGAAGGACTTTGCAAACAATATGCCTACAGTAGAAAATGTTGAAATAAATCACAGAGGCTATCAACTACTATGGTCCAAGCTTGGTGAGTTCTCCAAAGACATTTGATACAGAAGACACAGGAAAATGTCAGTGCCTCTAATTTATGTCCTATAGCTAACTAATTTTATGCTAATTCCATTTCTATACTGTGA